TGGCGGAGACGTGCCGCTGGGAGAAGGTGGGGGGCGAGGGGGTGGTGTGTCGCGATGGAGGGGCGCAGCGCGACAGCGCGGTGACAAACGCGACTGCGGCCGGGGCGGCTGCCGAGAAGTGGCCCCGGTGGGTGCTGCCTGGAGGCATTGCCCCAGTGGGGTGCTGCCCTAATCGGGTGCTGCCCTGGAGGCGCAGCCCGGTGGGGTGTCTGCCTGTGGGGTGCTGCCCCGGTGGGTGCTGCCTGGAGGCACTGCCCAGTGGGGTGCTTCCCCGGTGGAGCATTGGCCGATGGGGTGTTGCCCTGGAGGTGCTGTCCTGGTGGGTGCTGCCCCTGTGGGGTGCTGCCTGGTGGGGTGTCTGTGTGGGGGCTGCTACCCCGGGGGCTGCTACCCCAGGGGGTGCTGCCCCAGGGGCTTCTCACTTTGTGGCTTGTGTCCCTCCCTCCCTTAGGAAGCACCACAGGCAGCGAGTGTGGGTGAAGGGCTCTCTTGAAGCACCAATTAAGGTATTAGCTCCCAACTCTTATATTTTTATTTTTTTTTTTCCATGTGGTCTTAAAAATCACGTGTGGCCATTCATAACTTCAAAAGTAACGCCACCTCTTCAGAACATCAAACTAGAGCAGGTGCTTGCAAACCCTCTGGTAATTAATAAACTCTGCAGTTCTTTTCTAGAGGTCACCACCAGACAGGGGTTTTTTAACAATGAACAGTGTTTCCAAAAGCCTCTTGAGGTCAGTTAACCCCGGCCGGGCTGCCTGGCTGAGGAGCTGCTCCGCTCACTCCGGGAAACAGCGCCTTCGGAAGCTGGTCCTGGGCATAGAGACAAGCTGCGACGACACCGGCGCTGCTGTGGTGGACGATGCTGGCCATGTGCTGGGAGAAGCTCTGCACTGTCAGAAGGAAGTCCATTTGCAGTAAGGATATGCTTTTCTCAGAGCTTTTGCCTTAATAATGATTTTACTGTTATTCTTGTTATTCCTCGCCTCCCTTACGAGGAAAGGCTCAAAGAGCTGGGGCTCTTTATCCTGGAGAAGAGAAGGCTGAGGGGAGACCTTATCTGTGTTTACAAGTACCTAAAGGGTGGGTTGAAGGAGGATGGAGCCAGACTCTTTTCAGTGGTTCCCAGTGACAGGATGAGGGGCAACGGGCACAAGCTGGAACATGGGAAGTTCCACTCAAATATGAGGAAGAACTTCTTTACGGTGGGGGTGCCAAAGCCCTGGATCAGGCTGCCCAGGGAGGTCTTGGAGTCCCCGTCTCTGGAGATCTTCAAGACCCACCTGAATGCAATCCTGAGTGATGTGCTCTGGATAATCCTGCTTTGGCAGGGGAGTTGGGCTAGATGGTCTCTAGAAGATCCCTTCCAACTCCAACAATTCCGTGACTCCGTGATTGTAATATCATCCATATGAAAGTCTTCTCCAGTGAGAAGTAGGTAGGTGTAAAGACCTGTCTTGGGTCACACCACATTCTGCTTGAGATATTACTAGGGGTGAGGAAAGACAAGCTGTGCATTTAACAAGTTTCCTCTAGTATTTTCTTTCAAAAGGAGAGAGATTACTTATCTAGCTTGAATTAAAGATGAAATCATTATTACTCTTAAAGCCACCAAATGTCTCAAATTTTTAAAGGGAAAATTAATCAAATATAGGCATTGGTGGCTAACTGCAGGAACTGACAAGTGAGGGGTTGTGAATATTAAGTTACAGGCATTGCTTTGGAATATCGTTGAGATACAGTTAAGAGTTATGTGTACCAGAAAGTTACAGCCTTTTCTGACCTCCCCGTGATAATTGTGCTCTCTTCCATACATTGATGCCCTTTATGCTAAACAGGACATTTAGGAATACTAAAGAAACAGGCAAGGTTAAGAGGTGTTTGGAATCTATTCTTACACCATTCTATCTGTTATGAGATGCAAATGTACTGTAATTCTTTGTTTTTACTAGAGCAGGTGGAATAATTCCTGTGGTGGCCCAGCAACTTCACAGAGAAAACATCGAGGGAGTAGTAAAAGAAGCGCTCAGTGTCAGCGGAGTTTGTGTAGGTGACCTTGCAGCTATTGCGACTACAGTGAAACCAGGACTTGCCCTCAGCCTTGGAGTGGGGCTGGAGTACAGCTTGGGCTTGGTCAGCAGGTACCAGACACCCTTCATACCCATTCATCACGTGGAGGCTCACGCACTGACCGTCAGACTCACCCATCACGTGGAATTCCCCTTCTTGGTTCTTTTACTCTCTGGAGGGCACTGCATCTTGGCAGTAGCTCAAGGAGTTTCAGATTTCCTTCTGCTTGGACAGACCATAGATATAGCACCGGGTGACATGCTGGATAAGGTAATACATAAGCAAATCTAGTTTTTTCTGCCTTTTGTTGCAGTTATAGTACATAGTGGTAGCATTATCATAGAATCATAGAATGGTTAGAGCTGGAAGGGACCTTAAAGATCATCAAGTTCCAACCCCCCTTCCCTGGGTGGGGAAACCTCCCACTAGAGCAGGTTGCTCAAAGCCCCATCCAGCCTGGCCTTGAACCCCTCCAGGGATGTGGCAAACACAGCTTCTCTGGGCAACCTGTTCCAGTGTCTCACCACCCTCACAGTAAAGGAGTTCTTCTGGTATCTAATCTAAATCTCCCCTCTTCCAATTTAAAACTGTTACCCCTTGTCCTGTCACTGCGCTTCCTGACAAATTGTCCCTCTCCAGCTCTGCTGTAGGCCCCTTTCAGATATTGGAAGGCTTCTATAAGGTCTCCCCGAAGCCTTCTCTTCTCCAGGCTGAACAACTCCACCTCTCTCAGCCTGTCCTCATAGGAGAGGTGCTCCAGCCCTCTGATCATCTTTGTGGCCCTCTGCTGGACCAGTTCCAACAGGTCCATGTCCTTCCTGTGTTGAGGAATCCAGAGCTGGACACAGGACTCCAGGTGGGGTCTCACAAGCGCAGAGCAGAGGGGTAGAAGCACCTCCTGAGACCTGCTGGCCACACTTCTCTTGATGCAACCCAGGATGGGGTTGGCTTTCTGGGGTGCCAGTGCTCACTGCTGGCTCATGTTGAGCTTCTTATCCACAAGCCCAAGGACAGTAATACATTCCAATATCAGCTTTACTTAACTTTTTTTTTTTTTTTGTATTTTGAACTAGCAGTGCTCACTGCTGGCTCATGTTGAGCTTCTTATCCACAAGCCCAAGGACAGTAATACATTCCAATATCAGCTTTACTTAACTTTTTTTTTTTTTTTGTATTTTGAACTACCATAGCTATAAGACACAAGAGGCTGTTAAAAATCTGTGCATGGCATTGATTGTAACGTATGTAAATTAATTATATTTTTAGCAAATAGACAACAAAAACTGGTGTTGGAAGTTTCATTGACGCCCATTATACAAATGAGTCTTAGCAGAGTGATAGTGATATTTTAAAGGATGCTGTCAGATTTAAAACAATACATCTTAAAACACTTCTTACCAGTTGCTTTGTACAGTTTCAAAAGTTGGGTTTGGCTTTCAGAATCTTATGTTTTCTGGATCACTGAGTACAATCTGTAAAATTGGTCACTTAACAGTTTTGTTCTCAAACACAAGCAGAGTTTTTAAACAGTATTTGTGTGTGTATTAATTAAGAAAGTGACAGTGGACAGTGGAAACCAGCTTTGTTTCTGTTTATCTGGTGATATTAGTATGGCAGTCCATGGATGGTTCCTATAGCGTAAAAATTGGGTAGTGTTTCCTAAAAAATTTGGTTTGCTCAAAGTTTTCTAGAATTGCATTTCTAATTACTCCAGAAAAAAAATGAATTCAGCTGGCATATGTCTTGTCCTTACCCTGTTTGTAATTTCACATTGGATTGGATTTTGTGGTTTCTGATTTTCCTCCAGGAACTACGATGCAGTGGTGCAGTTACAGGAGGAATGAATGTAGCTCTCTGTGCTGAGTTTATTGTCCTCTCCCCAGGTGGCCAGGAGGCTGTCTCTGAGGAAGCACCCGGAGTGCCACAGCATGGCCGGGGGGAAGGCGATAGAGCACTTGGCTCAAACTGGAAACCGGCAACAGCACACCTTCAGGCTTCCCTTGCAACAGTACCGTAACTGTGACTTCTCTTTTTCTGGACTTCAGAACCTCGTCAATAACGTCATTATACAAAAAGAAAAAGAAGAAGGTATTTTTAAACAAAGTCAGAGGCAAACCATGCTTTTGACGGCCTGTCCTCAGGAAAACCCACTTGATTGTACATTTTTATAGGTATTCGAGAAGGTGAGCTCCTGTCCTGTGTCAAGGATATTGCTGCTGCTGCACAGCACGCAGTGGCTCTTCATATTATCCAGCGGACCTATCGAGCCATGCTGTTCTGCATAAAAAATAGCATATTACCATCAAAAAATGCAACTTTGGTGGGTATACATTTTGGTTTTTCCTTTTTATATTTGACTGTGCAACATCATTTGAAGATGCAGATGTCTTGTACCTTCTCCCTTGACAGATGAGGAAGATGTCAGTGTGTCTTACATTGTTAAAATACCAGGATAAAGTAAATGTAAATATTTACAATAAAGTCTTTCATAGTTTGGCTTTAAGATAGAAAGGAGATTGTGTTATCATCTAATCTGACCTTCCATAACAATTTAGGCCAAATAATTTGACCTAGTGCTCCCCAATACTTGACAGCTGTTCTGGTTATAACATGCTTTTATTCAGGAATCTCTTCTAGCGTAATAAGCTCACTTACACTTTTTTTGGATATGTTTTTATCTTCAGAGATATGTTTTAATCTTCAAGTGCGTTCTTTATTGCCATCTTCTGAACTTAATCTGATAACTATTTTTTACATAGGATGTTAGCTGCGTGTTGACCCATCAGTACTTTTGAGTTAATGCCTTTTTTCTTCTTGAAACTGCTGTCAGGTTGTGTCAGGAGGAGTTGCAAGCAATCAGTATATCCGAAAAGGTCTACAGGCTTTGGCAGATGCAAACGATTTTGCTTTACTGTGTCCTCCTCCAAGACTGTGCACCGATAACGGTGTCATGATCGCATGGTGAGCGCTGTTCCTCTTTGCATGAGTTTCTGTAACGTTCTTTAAAAGCTGACATCAGGGTCAAGAGCAACCGTTTATGGTGACTGAACCGCGTGCAGAGGTTCAGATAGTTATGACATACATTTTAAGGTTTGAATTTCTTGCTTAGGAATGGCATCGAAAGGTTACGTGCGGGACTTGGTGTTTTACACAGTCCTGAGGGCATCCGCTATGAACCCAGGTGAGTGACTCCGTTCCTTCACAGCCTGTTCTGCACTCACTGAGCATGGGAGGGGGTGCGGGCTAAAAAGAGGAGCAGAAGCTGACAAAGAGTGTCTTTGCAGTCCATGGAAGCTTTAAAAGTTACCAGCACTTCCTTTTCAGTGTAGTTGTGAAATATAAATGGTCATGTCTGGTGTTTACAATTGGTTTAGCTCAGAAATTTAAATTACCAGACATCGTAACACTTGTATGTATTTTCCTGTTACCATTGTGGTATGGGAAAACTGGAGCAAGTTAAGCTGTAACAGACTCCCCGTAGCTCCTCAGTCACTTTAGACATAAATCAGAGTGCTCTAAGTGAAACCGTGTATTCATTATGAGCAATCAATCTAAAAAAAGAATTTGACATATAACACTTGATAATACTGGGGTTTTTTACTGGTAATACTGATTTTATTAATGACTTGTTAGCTAAGACTTCTTCTATGGATTTAAGTAGAACCTAGGCTTAAGGCCAAACAAAATTCTAGTATTTTCAAAAGTACCAGCTGGTCTTAAACTTGAATTATTTTTCAGGTTTTTCCCCTTTCTGTTTCCAGGAAAACAGACTTGGGAAGTCTCAGGACATAAATTTTTTTTTTTTTATCATTTTCACATGAAAAATGATAAAATACTTTTCTTCAAAAATAACTTGCTTTATATATCTCATTGAATAAATTGAGTTTTATTTGCTATATACCTTCTTCAAGATTATCACAGAAAGTGATACCTGTGAATCTCTAGTACGTTTGTATTCATTGGTGAGATGTAAAATGAATTACCAACTAAAATCACAATCTAAATAAAAAAATGCCCCGAAAAGATGCCTTTGAAATCCCAACTGTGGTTCCTGAATTTGGAATGGCTACAAATGCAAACGTTTCTCTAATGTAAGGAGGTTTCTAGGTATGGACTATTTTAGTGGTCACACACTCTGATGGTGCAGGGAATCTGCAGAAGTCCTGTGACTTCCATGCTCGTTGTGAAAAAAGACCTATGAATTTGCACATCTGTGTGATTCAGCAATAATGTCATTTAACAAATACATGATTTTATTCTTTTCTAGAGCTCCCCTTGGAATTGATATTTCAAAAAGAGTTGAAGAAGATTCCATCAAAGTGCCAAAATTAAAAAAGAAGATACAATGGTTGGCATCTTAAAAAAGAACTTTGTAAAGTAAATGCAACTATAAATTGTTCAATAAAAATACTTTTAGTGCTGTTACATTTGCTGATGGTACTTGGTTTATAAGCGTTGAAAATCACCTGTCAGAGAAATAAATGCTGCGTGGTATCACCAAACTGATTCCAGTTACTGCTCCACTAATGTCTAAGGGTTCTAAGTATTAATAAAAAAAAATAAAAATTAAAAGTGCACTTTCTAATAAATAAACTAATTTGTCTAATAAACTTAGACAAATGAAAACATCTTCGCTGTTTAAACTCTGTAACTTATAAGGTGTTTATCTATTTATGAGATATACCATATAATTTAACTATATAATTCATATGTTTTAACTTACACTACATGTTAAAAAAAAAATTCGTATTTTCCAATTTTCTATGATTGACAAGTTACAGAAAGTAAACACAGAAGAGCACAGATTTTAAAGAAGATCTCGATGTATTAGCTGTGCCAGAAGCTGAACTTCAACAGTATCTAATTTTCTGCTGCTGGTGTGAGAAGCCTATTTTTATACAAAATTAAAATTTTCAGATATAGGGCTAGTGCCTCTTTATTTTTTTTTATTTTTTTTTTTATAAGCAGATCAGCAAAGCTAATCACTGTGTGAATCAGCTTTTAAGATGCAAGTTCTGAATTTTGATGTAAATAATGGATTATTTGACTTTGCCTCTTGATAATCAGTGTAAGGTGCTTTTACAGTGTTATTCACTACAATGGTATTTACTGAAATAAATCATTCAAGTATTAAGCACCTATTCAATAAGTGTTTTCTGATTCATAATGCATATGTTTAATATTGCCTCTATTTAAATACAAACAAGTAATTAGATTTGTGGAATAGTTATAAACAGACAAGTTGCTTGTTGGGTTTTTTTAAATGTTTTAATTATTTCTTTTTTAACCTGAGGGTAAGATGTAACAAATTAACAAGGTATGTGCATTCTTTTTTCTCCAATACTTAATTTTTGGAAGAAGGTTAAGATCCCCCATTGAAGACAAACCATTGGAAAAACACATAGTATTTACAGTTTGTTACGTACCGTTTCTGGAGTCTCATTTTTGTGGGATTTCAACTATGAGTAAGTTGTGTTTTGATAAAGTAATTCATCTGTATCATTAAGGTAGTTTATCTTCTTGGTAAAGTAATACATCATTTAACAAATTTAACGATTGCATTTCATAGGCCTTATCCAGCAGCATGTTTATACAGCTGGCTCCCTCATTCCAGCATAGATGAGAGACTGAAATTTGTGAAACTAACAGCGAGCAAACCCTTTATTCCCCCTTGTTATTACATCTAATTTCTCAATTATCCCAATATTTAGTGCTGGTTGTACCTTCCTTGAGATCAACAAGCCAGTCTTGCTGCTCAAAAGTTGCTCCCCGTTTCCAAACTTTCTGAGCAATGAGGGAGAAACCCCTTAATAGCTGTGTTTTGTGGTACAATAACTGTGAATAAAGTCCAGCAGAGATTTCTCATCAGGGATGCAGCCTTATGAACTGGAGGGGGACTGGTTCCAGTATGGCCCAAGCTTCCAAAAACTTCTGTTGTTTGGACCAGAGAGCTTGATTCTAACGCCACAGAAACGTCATTGCTTGAGACTTAAGAGTTTGAAAGTTATCAGAGTAAAAATGATGATTATTTTTTTAATTAAAAAAAATAAATACTTAAAGCTCTTCCAAAATAAGTACACAGGAACAATGCCCCAAGTAATTATAGTAGACATTTTGAAATATTTAAGTGGACATATACTTGTAACAAGGAATTAGAAATGCCATCACGACACTTTCCTGGCCTATCTCAGTCAATCAAATAAAACAGATTACACAGTTGAAAATCTGTGCTCAAAAAGTAGTTATTGATGGTGTTTTGATGAAATGTGATTAATAGAGCACGTGTATTACTTTGATGATTAATAATAATGTCCAAGTGTATAAAAAACCACACCAAACATTCTAAAAAAACTCTAAGAATTTATTGAATTTGCATATAGAATAAATGCAACATCTCAAGATGTAGCTTTATAGTTCTTCTACTGACAATAACTTCAGTCTGCTGCACGTGTCAGATGCTTTTTCAGTGTTGCTCTCTAGCTTTGCAATGCGAGACCCAAACTGTACAGCCCTTTTGGGCAGCACGGTGGAGGCTGTAAGGCCACACTCCCTGCCTGCAAGGCGCAGAAGCAATTTCTCACCAACTCCTCGAGGTAAAGTCAAGTCAGCTTTTTCTGAGATGGGCAGAGAATTGAGGAATGAAACCACATCTTCGTCAAGAAAAGGAAACCTGAAGGAGAAATACACACGGAGAAGGACCCTTTAAAAACTTCATACAACTTCATAGTCTTAGTTTTCCCCTTTACCCACATGCAAAGACTTCAGAGGCTGTGTCGATTCCTAACTAAAAATGTACCTTAAATGTTAATGTGTCAGCACTGAAGCAAGTCTCCAAGGCAGTTACACTGTCTTGGATAAAGAAAACATATGTTTAAACTCAGAAGCCTCGAAGTTTTCAAAACTCAAAGAAAGAAGAGTAAGAACAAGCACCAGAAATGTTGGGTTTATACAAAACAAAAATTGCAAAGAAATCAGAAAACACAATGGAAGAGCAAGACAAATTTTAAAGTAACACTTCTCAATATAACTTCTAAGTATTTAAAAATACTGTATGAAGCTACACTGTAGTTGTTGTACACAACAAATTCTGACAACATTCTGAATTCCAGGCATTCATATCTAATCACATGCATGATTAACAGCATCGCCTGTCCACCACTGCAACTCTTAAACTGAAAAGGTGCAACTAAGAACACATTTGGAAAAACACTGGCACAAAGATCATGTGAAAAGACCTTTCATGCTACTGGACAACACCGAAGGAATTTTTTGCAAGTTGGTGGTAGCATGGAGGAAGTAAACACAAATAAAACAATTCTTTAACTATTGCGACTTAACCAGCAAAACCAGTTTTGCTTCATGTTAAAACAATAATACCTGGCTTCTTTTCCGTGATCACCAATAATCCTGTCATCTCTACCAAGATTTCTAGAAGAAATGCGATCCAACTCCATTTCAAGTTCTTTATTCAGACCCTCTAAGCCATATTTTTTGAAGCAAACACGATGTCGAGAATACCCAGCAAGCTGTTCATCTGCTCCAATTCCTGTAAGTACAACCTGAGAAAACAGAATAAAAGAAATCTTTCTTAACATCTGTGCAAGCTAATAAGATTTAACATCTTAAGCATTTAACTACATCTTAAGGAGAATAACACATCTCCTAAATACATTACCTATCATGATGGGATGTGCCTTACACATTTACAGAGCCTGAAACAGTTCCCAATAAAGTAACTAGAAACTCGAAGTAGGTTCAAAATCAGACCTAAAAGTACATACTGAGGCAAGGAAAAAACACCAAAATAATGTTGTGTGCATCACAAACATACCAGTGTCTTTGAATAATGTCTTTGTTAGTTTCTGTTACAATAAACAGCTTTTGTTAAGCACAAGCCTTTTTCAAAGAAATTGCTGCCACAAATTACGCAGTATGTTGTAGGTTCTAAAAAGTCATCTGAATGTACACCTAGATTATTATTAATTTACCAGCTACCAGGTTAATAATGACTGCATTATATGAAATAAAAATGTGTCATATTGTTCTGTCTAGTCCATGATAAGCAGATAAAATGTTATCAAAAGAAAAACACTATTACACCTGGCCCATTGCTGTGCCTTCAACAGCAATTCACTAAAAAGGTGGAAGTCCCAACATAACCAGTCAAGTGTGTTTTACTAATCAACACCAGCTACTGGTCAACTGATTTTTGGGCTGTGCACAGCTGTAAGTAACCCATGAGAGAACTGTCATTTCGCTTTATGTTTTATTAACTCATGCCCATTTCCACATATTCCAGACCTAAGGTGAATTTGTGTGTTATACAAATCTGAGATGCACATCCCTAAGTAGATCAGTCAACTAAATCAACTGTGTTCCACAGCAGTAGTTTTTATGCAAATTATTCCATCTGTTGGTGTTTTTTGTGCTTTTAGATCTAGCAACAAGTATATAAGCAACAGAATCCTCAAAAAGCTAAGGCAGCAGTGAACTGCAGACTCCTGAAATCAAACAGTTTATTCTTCCCTACACAAACCATCAGGAACTGGGAAGTGAGAAATAAGAATCAAATTCCCAAGAAAATAATCCAGTTACTAAAAAGACTGTACTTAAAACTACATACATGAAAATAAGTTATAAAAAAGAAAGAACTACTTTTTTTAGTTGTCACTCAATCAGATTCTAATTACAAAAAATTCCAAGTAGTCATCTTTTCTACCATTATTAATTGCAATTTTATCATATACTGTGCCTAAGTTACAAGCTAGTAATTTTACAGCCCTCAGGGTGCTGGTACAAAACAATATTACTTAATATTTAATTAATGTTTATCTCTTAAATTTGTTAACCTACACAATTTGGATTGGATAGCAGCTACCCACTTTTAGAGTTGAAACAATGAAAATTATAAATGATTGTTGTTATTTTTTTTCCTATCACATTTGCTTTTTCAAGCTTAATGAAAAGCCATACATGTTACGTGACAAAAGAACTGAATGCAGTTTTTAACTCCAGAATTACACAAAGATTATCAGAACACAACTATTCAGTATTTTGCCACTAAAATTCAGAAACCTCATAAATATTAAAGATCCTGATGATTTCTAAAACAACATAACTGCTTTTACATTTATAGGTCAAGCATAAGGTAGAAAACAACCAGTACCTTTGCAGGACTTTTATATGGTTTCAGTTCTCCTTGGTTACTAATAAACCCCTCTCCTCTGGAAGCAAACCAAATTGCACAGCCAATGCTGTCATCCAAGACTGTATCCAGTGGATTAATTAAGTGCTTAATGCATTGTTGTCTCATTCTTTTCAGCTCCTCTGGCAAAACATTAATTTCCACAAAGTTCCAGGTTCTTGCAGGGTTAAGGGCTTCTAATTCTTTCAGCCCTGCCCTACCAGTGATTCTGTCCGGAACATCAAAGCAAGATAAACGAGCACCAGTTTTAGCATGAAGATCTTTATAACTTTCTTGAGGACCAAGCAAATCAAGCTGTACATCCTGCTTGGTATGGTTTTTAGTGGTACCCTTTTGCTTGGCTTGTTCTTTTATCAGGAAAGCTACATTGAGAAGATCAATTGGTTCCTCCAAAGGTACATGTTTATCAGCAAGGGCTGCAATAACCATAGAATCAATGCCACCAGAAAAGAGCACGGCAATGTGTGCTCTCCTATTACACATGCTTGGAAATTCTCTCGTTTTCTGATCTTCTTCTCTAAAGAGAGATAAAACCCGTCTCTTCACCGCTTCATTTAAAACATCAATAAACTGATGGATTACTTTTTTCTTGCATTCCTCTGCAAGAAATCCTTGAAGGGTTTCTACAGAAACCGTATGGATAATGTTGCTAGTATTAGTGCCTGGACATTCACCTGAAGCTTCAGAAATTGTTTTATTTAAGGGAATAACTGGTGCTCTGAGACATAGTTTTGATTCACTCATCACAAGATGTATGTGGTTTGGTAAGTCTTTTGAAACTTGGTCCAGAATGTTAATGAATGTTTCTTCTACTGCTGTATCTGTGCAGCTGTACTTCCATGGAAACAATGTTAAAGACAAAGATTTAGTTGTTGCACAAGCTTTGAGATCAATTTTGAAAATTCCAGATGCTGGGACTTCTTGCCATTGGTTACC